AAGTAAATTAAATATTAAAGTCAATTCAATAAATATTTATTAAAACGTAAAAATACAACAGGTACTGAAATTAAAAAAAAACCAATTCAATATTAACTTAAATAAATTTTTTCGTTTTAAACACTAAATCACATTTTATATACATAAATATATCGTCACCTAAGTGGAAGATCGACCTATCTCGGCAGGCAATTCGAAAACGCCCTATCTGAGAAAATTTTTGAAGAACGCCCTACTTCAGAATTTGATTGAAGAACGCCTTATTTCAGAATTTTATTAAAAAAAACACCCTATCTCAGCTGGCGATTCAAAAACACCCTATCTCAGTACATTTTCAATGTATTTCCAGCTGAGATAGGGTGTTTTTGAGCCGAATTCTGAGATAGGGTGTTTTTCAATAAAATTCTGAAATAGGGCGTTCTTCAGTCAAATTCTGAAGTGGGGCGTTCTTGAATAGATTTCTGAGATAGGGCGTTTTCGAATTGGCTGCCGACATAGGTGACGATATTAAGTAAAAATAAAAAAAAATTCATTAAAACTTATCACCTACCACAACCGTAAAATTCATTAAAAACTTACATTAACTTAAAATCTATTCCAAATCGCTATCATCTAAAACACCATCTAAAGCTAAACTTAAAATATCACGAGTTGTCGCGGAGTTTGTTACTTCCTTGTCTTTTTTTCTGGCGGAAGATAGCAGGGAATGGATGGCATCAATGGTTTCCAGAGCAACGTCCTCACTTTTCATACCATCCAGTATGCTGACCACCTCCTCGCCAACCCACTCATATTTCCTTTTTGTGTTTGTCACCATTATATTTGTCAACTCTTTCAATCCCTGTTGCACCTTTTGTTGTAAATGAGCCTTATTTCGTTTTCTGCAAGATGATGAAACCTGAAAATAAAATAATTGTTATTATTTTTAGTTCCCGGAGTCTCCAAATGAATGGAAATCAATTGCGGATCAGTTTGAGCGGAAATGGCAGTTTCCTCTTTGTTTAGGAGCTTTAGATGGAAAGCATGTAAGCTTCTACGCTTCTCAATCAGATGGCTCTTACTATCACAATTACAAAGGAACTGATAGCATTGTACTGCTAGCACTGGTGGATGCAAATTGCAAATTTATTTATATAAACGTGGGCGCAAATGGTAGAACTCATGATGGAGCTATCCTAAGCCATTCGTCTTTACAGCGAGTGTTGAATAATAGGGGTACATACTTTCCACCACACAAAGTTATAGGGAACCAAAGATTATTGCCTTATGTCGTGGTTGCCGATAATGCTTTTGCACTACAAAGACA